AGGTGGCTCGGTTCGTCTGAACCTCACCAGAACTCATTGGTTCTTGAGCCCTCAGCCGGACCTCTCATGAGTACTGTGCCTCTTGGGGCACCTCAAGCCTTATGGACTGATTGTTTGGCTCTAAACCTCCCCTTTACCATGCCCCATGCCTCGAGGTGTTACACGGATGTTGTTCCCTGTACTGGGGCCTCGGGCTACTTGTCCTACACCCCTTTAATCTGGCTAGTCCTTCTAGCCTAGGTCCACTGTGTTGGATCTGGTTCCAAGGGACTAGCTCCAATTGATATGTTTCTGTCACTGGGCCCTCCAGCCCTTGTCCCTGTTGCACCTGTCTGGCACCGGGCCCTCCGGCCCTTGTACCTGCTGCACCCCTCTGGTGCCAGGCCCTTCAGCCCTTGTCCCTGCTGTGCCCCTCTGGGCACTAATGAGGCCTCCAAACCTCCCCTTACAGCTTCATCTCAAATCTCCGGTACAGCAACAAGACAAACATAAGCCCCCGGGCTATAATGTAACCAAAATAATGAAAATCGTGCTTTGCCCCTTTAAGAAGGCAAATTTCCACCCCTAGGACAGTGTGGCTCCTTGCCCTGACTACTTTGGAGGCAGCAAAACAGGCAACCAAATGGCTCTAGGTAGCTCTTTTAGGCAGGGCCTTCTTCCCTTAGCAGTCTCCAGAGAGAATGATCTCTGTTAGCCCCAGCCCTGAGCTTATATGTTACAAGGGCCCTGTCTCCTTTCAGTCATCTGATCATCTGCAGGTGCCAGCTAATTACCCCATTAATGTTGTTTAGGCAACCTACAACTGTGGAGCTCTGCCTAGCCTGCAGGGTTCCCTGGCTAGGATGCTTCTGCCCTTAAAGGAGCAGGCACATTTTAGTGTTCTGTGACAGTAGGGTGTGTCTTCACGTGCATAGTACATATAGTATCATTTGGATAGTATATATAGGGTGTGTAGTATGTGTAGGGTGTGTCTACAGGTGTATTTGATCTGGGTGGAGTTTACTCGCAAATAAACTACTCATGAGTAAATGCTCCCAGGCAGGCATCTACATGTGCAGGGTCTTGGGACCCTATTTGCTGCTCATGGCAGCAATCTGCTCCCATCCCTGCTAGGCCTGTACAGGCGCCCTGCAGAGGCTATGGAAGCTCTAGGCTCCTCCTAGGTGCTAACCCAGGGGTTGGCAGTGAGCACTGGGCCAAAAGACAGCTATCTCTTGGTGGGAGCTGAGACATTGCTCCCTGCCCCCAGGAGGAGGGATGCTGTCAGTGTCCCCCTGCCCCAGCAGCAGGGAGCTCCTGGCCCCGGCTCTCCAGTCAGGGGCAGGAGACTTGGAAAGAGCTGCAGGGGAGGGGAAGGTTCCAGCTGCATGCCCTGATTGGGATTTCTTGCCCAGCCAGGGGCTTGCTGCCAGCTGCTCCACTGGCAGATGGGTCATGGTGCTGGGGCCTGCCCCACCCCTGCAGTTCTTTCCAAGCTTCACACCTCGATCCCTGAAGCAGGGCATGGGGCTGGGACCCAGTTCCCAGCCCCCACCCCACCATTGCAGGGCGGGGACTGGAGAGCTTGTTCACTTCCCAGCTCCACGATCATGGAGCTGGGCAGGGAACAGGCTCCTCAGCCCCCACCAACAAGGACCTCCCATTCTCCACTCTGTGATTGGGGAGCAGGGGCTGGGAGATAAGGATCTTCCAGGGGCAGGGAGACATTGTCCCTGTGCCCTGGCAGCAGGCTGCTCCCAGGGGCAGGAACGAATCTCCTGCTCCCTGCTGCTCCCTTCGGCCTGTCTGACAGGGAGTACATTTGCTCCCAGTCAGGGGTCTACACATGCATTTGTTTCCAAATCAAATGGTTGGTCATTCATATCGATGTTATATAACAGTGGTGCAAGTATGCTTCCTTGGGGAAGGCCATTAATCTGTCACCTCCATATACTTTGCTTCTCATCCAGTTTGACAAAACAGCATCTGTTTTTGAGCAGGGTTCGTATGACCTCTGTCAGGTGTACATTTTTTGTCATTTCCAGGGTCTTGTGGAGGAGTCATTGGTGGTTAACTGTATCATAGGCAGCTATTAGGTCAACAAACATAGCTCCAGTGATTTGGCCTCTTTCAAAACCATCTTCAACACAATGAGTTATATTGAACAACTGGCCTCATTGTTGATTTTCCAGGGTGAAAGCCACTGTTTTTGTGGATTAGGTCTTTACCCACGTATGGGGCAAGCTGGTTCAGTATCAGTCATTCATATAATTTGTATGTGTAGCATAGCAGAGAGATAGGTCTGAAGCTCTTTGGGTCAGATGGATCTTTTCCTGACTTCAGAAGTGGCACTACCTAGCCTGTCGCCATATCTTTGGAATTTTTTGATTGACTGTACACAAGTTGTATAGGTAGAGAAGCCATTCAGAAGTGCATGGTCCAAATTGCTTGATTTGTTCGGTAAGTATGTTGTCAAGGCTGGCTGCTTTCCTAGTCTTCAGTGTGTTAATACCAGCATTCAGCTCTGTCATTAAGAAGGGGCTTGTAAAACCCAGGTCTTTGGGCTACTCACACCTTCCTACTCTGAGGGTTTTTTTGTTTGGTTTTGGTTTGGGGGCTTTTTCCATTGAGAAGCATCTGGCGAGCAATTTGATTAGCAGTAACATTATGATGTTGATCTACTTATTGTGGTTTGACATTTAGTTTATGTATTGTTGCCCATGTGTTTTTACTATTATGCGTCATATCAGTTGACTCAATCTGTCTGCAAAGATTTCCTGAATTCTTCTGTAATGGATAACATGAGTTCCTTGCCTCTAGCAGTAGTGCTTACAAAAACAACTGTAGGCTTCACACAGGCCAGTGGTTGTGGAGTGAGGCCAGGGTTGTAACTGAAGCAGCAGCCCCATGCATGTTCTTTCTTGCAGATTTCTGCACAACTTTTATGAATTAGTCAGTTTTCTCAGGCAATGTTTTGATGGGTTTGACTATGGCATCAAGGTATTCTGAAAAGCCTTTCCAGTTTGTCTTTTTAAGGTTGAAACATTGGCAGAATGGCACTGCTATAGGCAGGGTGGGCATTACTGAAGCCTTGATCTGAACTAGTCAATTGCTAGGAATGTGGGGTAGGGTCTTAGCTTTATTACTTAGCCCAGCAATGGTGTTGTTGGTGAGTACAAGGTCTGAGTTGTATTCTTGTTTCCAGTGGCCGCTGTTGAATGATTTAGGTAGTTTGGTCATGGAACAAACTTATCTGGTAGGCATCTAACCAAGCTTCTACTGCTTTGCTATCTTTATTGGTCTCTTTGTAGCCCCATTGCTTGCTATGGCTGTTAAAGTCACCAATGATCAACTGTGGTTTATTTTGAGTGATCCCTGATGTATCTGTAAAGGTGAAACTCGTGTGAGGTGGTTTGTAGACTGAAGTGATTGTGATTCTGTTGAGTTCGGCGGTCAGGATTTCACTGTTATTTTCTTAAGCCTTTACTGTAGAAATTATGACCATTCCAGTTTTAACAAATATGGTACTTCCAAATTGCTTGTGTAGTCTTTCAATCACCATAGTTATTTCACATATTGAAGGACAGTTATTATGAGGCCCTCAGTGCATCTCTTGTAAGCCCAAGGCATCACACTGGTCTTTCTTACATAGATTTACAGTCAGTTCTTTTTTGATGTTGAAACCCCTTCAAGGTTTGTGGACAGTACTGTCAATGCGGGCCCTAAGAAGGGCTCGTGTCTACTTCAGTCACAAGACATTATGATTGGTTATAGTTGGTCAATTTGTAGAGTCAAAATCTTAGTCTGGAGTGTTAGCAGAATTGTCAGGTGTTACTAGGTATTACCTGACAGGGGTTGCAACGTGAATGCTTTGCTATAAGAAGATGTGACAAGAACTTTGAATCCCTTCACTGACTTTCAGTTGGAGATAATCAAGATATATAAATGGCTGTCTTTAAAAATCTCTTAACAGAGTGCCTTGACTGTAATTAATTTAAAGCAATTGTCTAGCATAATCATAGAAATGTCTGTATATTGCTTAATAGATTTTAAGACCTTCTATTGTGTGTATGTATATGCTAATGCAAGCAATAACTTTATACTGTAATGAACAAAAACTTTGTTTTTTTATAGTAAAAAAATTGTTTAATTTAAAGTAGGTGAAGAGGAGGAAGAGGAGGAAGAAGAACCGGAGGTACCAGCTGGCCCACGGCCCCGAAGAATATCTGAACTGAATATGAAAGAGAAGATTACACCAATTCCTGAAGGGAGTGCCTTTTTCATATTCAGCAGCACCAATCCGTAAATATAACCTTCATAAATAGCGCCTTGGGGTTTCATCGCTGGGGAATCAGTCCACTCTCATGGAAGTAATGAGCAGGGATCCCACTGACTTAATTAGGAGAAGAATCAGACCCTAATTAATTAATTTAATTAATTTGCTTAAATACACCCTTCTACAAAACCTTCATTAAAGTCAATATTTTGGGGGGGGGGGTGTCCTACAAGCTGATCATTCAGTTTCTGAATAACATGACTTAATGTGAGGTGTGTCTTCAATATAATACTTATCTTTTAATATTAGGCCTGAGGGTAAAATGAGAATTATTTCAGTGTAAGATATTTGTATTATGTTATGGATTAACTAACAAAATTCCTGTGGGAAGCAACAAAGAACTGAGTTGCTTTATGCCAACTGAAGACCTGACCCATAGAGAACTCACAATTCAGATGATATAGATGACACAAAAAGCATTACTTTGACCTATTGGTGGAATAATACTGAAAGAGAAGGAAAAAAGATAAAGGAGAAGGAGAAAGAATAAAGTACTCTTTGAATGGTGGCAATATTCAGTGTTCAACCTGACAGTAAAAGGCAAAGAGAAATAAAAAAAATGAGAAATAAAAACAATGAAAGCTGGATGATTTTAGGGAATTGGAAAATGGAATTTTTCAATTCTAGGGATAGTTCCAGCCCTGTGCAGTAGTGAAGAAATCTATTTCATTAGTCAGTGGAAGCAGTGACCATTTGGAGGCTGTCATCTCAGCCAGGCTAATTAGTCTGGGTGAAGCACTGCACTGTTGTGGTTATACTGCTTTTCAAGATCTAATTTATGTAGAGCTTTCTTGGCTGTCTCTACTCAGCTTTGACTTGCACTGCATAGAGACACCCCTGAATGTATAACTGAGACACTGAACCCAATCAAGCTCCCAACAAGGCAATTTGGGAATACAAGAGCTGAATTAGACTCTGGGCCTAAAATTACTAAGTCCTAAATGTGGCACTTCACTTCCTTAGCATGGCCCTCTGCACATGAGCACATTAGGATGAAATACTGGGATTTTTAAAAGAACCTAGAGGACTTAGTCCAGTGATTCTCAATCAGGACACCAGTTGGGATGCTGTGAGATGCTTGTAAGAGTGTTGCAGGGTATCATTCAATATTAACACTGTTAGGCATGCAAACACCTACAGTTCACAAAATAAACTTAGAGGCTGCCTCCAGATGAGCACAGCCATGCGGTATGTGGCGTCACTGACCTGTCTGCAGTGCCACATACCACACATTCAGGGGTTCTCCATGCTGCCCCCAGGAGATTCCTGGGGTTAAAAACACCCACATGGAAAAAATACAGGGCAACACACGTGGTTGCTGTATGCACCTCCCAAAACCAGAGCCCAGCCTGCCAGAGCCATGCTCCAGCCACTGGTCAGGCTTCCAGCTGCAGGAGTGCCATGGCTGCAGCCCCACAAGGTTCCCAGGGACCCAGGCAAGACTTCTGGGGCCAGCACTGTTTCTGGCTCCAGCCTCCCCTACCCTACCTGAGGTAACCTGCCACATCCCAGATTGTGTGTGGCACCATGTTCCCTTCTTCTTCCTGGGGAAACAAATAGCTGTGCTTGTGTTGATGCAGCCATAGATATCAAATAGAAATCCATGGTGTCTGAAACATTTGGATCAGTTGTGGTCTTTCTGAGTTCTTTGCAACAGAAGAATTGCTCTCTGATTTTTCCTTAATCAAAAAAACCCCCAAGTGAAAACTAAAAGCTGACATTTTCTGAGGACTGCTTGAATCTAAAGAAGGGCACTTTGTATTTCCAAAGGTTGAGAACCACTGAATTAGGCACTTGCATCCTATTAAAAATCAAAGAGAGTTGGCAGGTTAATTTCCTTGGATTCCCTTGAAAATCCCAGTCTTTAAGGGTGTCTTTATTTGTGCTCCAGGGGTGGGAGGGAATGCTTTAATTAGAACTGCTCCGAGAACCGATCTAATTAAAGTGCCTACAGAGTCATGTGTATTCAGTATCGCATATGTTCAGACTGGCTTGTATTCCACAAGCTTTAATTAAAGTGCCCCCACTGTCATTTTGAAGTGCAGGGATGCTGAATACATGAGATGTGGAGGCAACTAGAGTGCACTAATTAGCACATGCCAGCAGGTTTGATTAATCAAGTCTGCTTTGCTGAACTGTAATTACAGCACGTCAGAGCAATGCCCCCACATGTGTATAGGCACCCCAAGTCTGTAGTCCAGATTCTGAACTCATTTGCATTGGTTTAAATCAAAGCAGTTCCTCGTCATTTACTTTGGCCTTAACTGAGAGCATAATCTAAGTCTAGTTTTGGATTACCTCAGTTCTTCTCAGAGGAATCTGATGTATGTTGACCTTACCTCCCATATTTCATTTACACATGATGTATTTTTGTGTCTCTTTTTCAGAATTCGAGTGGGGTGCCACAGGCTTATCAACCACCATATTTTTACCAATCTCATCCTTGTCTTCATCATGCTGAGCAGCATTTCTTTAGCAGCAGAAGACCCAATTCGTAGTCATTCTTTTAGAAATAATGTAAGCGGACAATTGAAACTGTAGATAAGTTTGCATAATAATATGCCTTCTTGTTTACTCTTAAATTATCAATATGGCTAGAATACACTTGTTTGTAGTGCAGACTTTCAACTGTAGCTCATTATCACTATGCAGTATATATTTATATTATATGTATTTGTTTCTTTTGCTCTCTAAGCATAGATATAAGTGTTTTACAATTTTACAATGGATATTTTACTTTTAACATAAACTACATTACACTGAAGACTTTTTAGAATATCAAAACATAGAACATGCAGCAAAATTTTAATCAAAATGAAATTAATCCTTTATCAATGTTTATCAGTAGAGGTCTGGTCCTTTCTTGTGTGAGGAGCTTTTGTTAATTCAGTTATGTGAGTGGGGAGGCAGGCTCAAGCCCCATGTAAATAAAAAAAAAAATCAAACAACTAAGGTTTAAATAATGAAAAGCAGAATTCACATGACTCTGACTTTAATCACTTTTTTCAGCTTAGAAATATATAAAATTATGCTCCCTGACAATGAGAGAGGAAAGCACTAGGTAAAACGTATAAAAGTTTGAATAGTCGACTGCTGCACTGTGTGTGTGTCTGCATGAGATGCTAACTGTACAGTAGTCTAATAACACTGCGCAGTAGTGTGCTGAGCAAAACCCATGCTTATACACTACTGCACAGTAGTATTAGGCTACTGCACAGTTTGCATCTGTAAAAACCCGTGCACCAGCACTACTGCACAGTAGTACCAGTTTCTGTACATTGATTTAATACTTGGTTATCCAAGTACTAAATTTAATGCACAGTAACTACAGTGCATTACTAAACGTGTGGACACACCCACTAAGGCAAATCATTTGTGAATAGAAATCTTGTTTTGCCTGTACTTTGCTTGTTTCTTTCATAAATGCAGGAGTTATCTTTATGTCGAATCCTAAGATATTTGGACGTGCCATCACTTCTGTGTCTAAAGATAAATGTACATCAGTAAAATAATATAGTTAAATAATACAGTCTGGAATTTGCAACTGATTCTCAGTTGTCAGGTTAAAACACTTTCTTTCTTTGAACCTCTCTTCAAGGGGGTTTCCCCCCCGACAAGTTGATAGACATGGGCTAAATCCTATTTCACCTTCACACAGCCCTTCCCTCTCCCCCCAGCCCTTTCCCCACAGACTTACCTGCTGGGTGTGGGGTGGGGGTGCACATGTGAGTGCAGTCAGCCCCCCCAAATAATATTTTCTCCTTCTGCCTATGGTTTCACCATGGTTTTAAAAACTCCTGGCTTATAGGACTCAAAATATTTAGAGCTCATTAATGCCTGCTGATGAAATAAGAGAGCATTTTTTGATTCACACATTTAGATCTCTTAAAATAAATTTTATTTTCTGTTCCATAATCTTAAATCAGCAAGCTCTAGCACATAGCAAGAATGAGAATGCTGGATACCATAATTTTCTAAAAGCTTTACATTTTCTCGAAGTGACAAACAATTCCTGAGAACTTCGATGCATCTGCCTATCCTACTAACTTTTCAGAATTTGGCCCATGGTGATGTATATCTGCCAAGGCAAGTGGCAACATGCTGACTGTCAGAATCTTTTTTCTGACTACTACTTTAGGAATTCCATCATGAGTTTATTTGGGATATTTCTTTTAGAAGAGAAAACCCTCTGACCTCTTTTTGCTATAAAGAGTTTTTCTTGCTGTCATGGAAAAAAGAATGTAACTTAAAAAAAATCCTAGCCCCTTCTCCCCATCACTTTTGCCACTTAGCACCAAATAATATAATATAATAGTTTTGGAAAACGAACGTTCCAGTTCCTTTAATGTGCAAGAATATAGGCCTACAAGATAACTAAGTGCAGAGAAAGTTCCTCTTGATTTGCTAAACTTACAGGTAATAACATTCCTTTACAGCATGTATAATGAGAAAAGTAACTTCACTTTCACTGTTTTCAGCACATCTACAGAAAACACATCGAAATTTAAGTATTTTTATGACTAATGAATTCAACTTACTCCATTTTTGTTTCAAACTACTGTTCCACTGTATAAACTCAGGTATATATCTGGTTTTTATAAAGAGTTCATGGGAACAAGAAATTTGTATCTGTAAAACAACAACTTTCCTTCCATTTGTGGCAGGATCATGATGTCTAATTTTAAAGCATATTTACAAAAATATGCTTATTTGCATCCATTAAACCTTCCCTATAACATGGAGACTATTTCATCCTCCTAAAGAATTCAGAATACCTAACTAGGTGAAGGATCATATAACTCAAATGCATTAGAAAAGTCTTTTTTTAGATAAACCAAAGTGAAGTCTTGCTGTAAGATTTACATGCGTATATACCGGGAAGAATAAAGAATAACAAGAAGGAAGAATTAGAGTTAACATGACTTTTGCTATATTTATCTTACATGTATAACATTGTCTAAAGTGGTTAGGTTGAATATGTTTTTGTGACAGAACACCCTTTTGGGGAGTCTGTCACTTTAAGGGCTGGAGCACGGAGCTGCCAGGTAGTTGATGAGAGTGGCCATTTTGGAGAGCAGCCATTTTGGATAGCTCTGTTATAAGAGCAGAGCAGTGTGAGATCAGCCGGTAGGGAGGAAACATCACCCTGCTGAGCTTTGGCTCCAGGAACAGCTTGGAGGTAACGGTGAGGCTATGGGGAAGGAGGAGGCCTCATTGGTCCTGGGCATGTCTCATTGGTCCTGGGCATGACCTAAAACTGGACTCTGCTGGGATAGGAAGGCCTGCTGGTCCTGCCTGTGGCGGAGCAGGACCATGCAAATACCAGGACCAAGAACCTCCCCAGTGTAAGGCGGGTTGGGGCACCTAAACCCCTGCCCCCACCTTTGGGTGGATTACTTTGGGTGGGTGCAGAGTAGCTGCACCTGAGTCCTATGGGATGTTGGACTCTGCAGTGGGGGCCAGGCACACTGAATGAGCAGCACCTGAGCCCAAGGGGGTGTAAGACCCCAGGCCCTGAGAGTTGCAGGCTGGAGTTGTGGGCCAGTTAAGCTCAGGGAGAAGTGGCTAAGTCCTAAGGGGTGGAAGAGCCCAGGCCCTAGTGTAAGGGGTGGAGTTGTGACCTGAGAGAGTGGGGGTCTGGTGAGGGGCCAGGGGCAAAGGAGGCCTGTAATTGAGCAATCGCTCAGTCCTGTTTGGGTGAGGGTCACTGAGGAGGCCCAAAAGATTGTGCATGTACGTATCACCCATGGTCATTTGGGCACGTGAAGGGTAGCCTCCCGCCTATTTGACATCATAACCATTTATCAACAAGGCATGGCAGGCGAGCAAGCCGGCTGGTTTACCCACAGGCAACAAACTAAGCCCTCTCTTTTTGCTTTGCTACATGTCTGAGATTAGTAGTGATGTGAAGAAAAGTCCCTCAGCTTGCTTTCTCTGTCATATACTGTATATAGGTCTAAAATTGTCATTTTGTAAAATAATTGCAAAGAGGCACCCAGGTAAAATTCTGTCATGAATTGGTAGGGAGAGAGGGTTGTTACTGGGCATCCTTCATT